TCCCAGCTCTAATACTATATTAAGTTTAATTATGAATATCGATAGCAACTGCCTCTTTTTTATAAATACACCGTATTGAACCCGAAGTAATGCAGTCGAGTTACTACTGCTGGAAAACGATCCTTTTAAAAATTATTTTCAGCACAGATGTAAAAGAAATGTGCTCTAATTATAGTTACATTACATATATCAGATTAGTGGTTTCAGAAAAAAGGAACTTGGTCTAACCAAAAGTGTTTTATAAAACTCGTGGTGAAATTCCGCCCATTGTCACCGACACAAGGATAGAACTCCGAGGCACTTGGAGAACAATTGGCGGGCGTGGGTGGGGCCTCCGAAACCAAGCGCGCGGGCGTATAAGAGGCAGCCGCTGGCTCCTCTCAGCATCCACTCGCCTCCGCCATGGCCTTCTGGAAGGTGCTGAGCGCTGCTGCGGCGTGCTGGGCCGTGCTGGCCTCCGCCGCCGACTTCTACGCCGCCCTGCCGCCCTCCTGCGACAGGTGAGCCCCGCGACCCACAGGCGGAGGCTTCGACCCAGGAGACCTCGGACAGGGGCCCTTTTGGGGAAACCTGGAACGATCAGGGAATTTCATTGACCCGGAAAAGACACGGAAAGTCAGCGACTTTTTAGTTTACTAACTACTGTCCGGGAAAGGTTTAATTCTGTACTTCAACTAGCTTATGATTTCTTCAGGTACCTTAGAGGCCGACGACGCTGCCCAACACCAGTGCAGGTAATTTTTTCTCGAACCGGGAAAAATCCGTAAATTCCACTCACACGGACAAGTCAGAAACAATAGGGAATATTTTGCAGGAATATTAGAGACTAGTGGGTGATCCCATTCCAAAGAACGAGTAGAATTAAACAATTTTAAATCAATTACTATGAGTCACAGACATTTTTTATAAATAAAAATCTATATTTTATTCATTAAACAACATTGATCCATCGTTAATATTAATGTAATTTTCATTTGTAAAGTAAATATTGTTAATTAGGAAAGAACCGCTCTTTAAACAAACGATATGTGACTTGTATTACACTCACTTTTAGGATTTGATAGATGTTGCAGATCGACATCATTCCTAAGCTTACGAATAATTGCATTAACTCCCTCTCGCCGGCCTGGATAGCCGAGGTGGCTAACGGCGTGTCTAGTCTCTGCGGTCCAGCCCGAAAAGTCGTTTGTTCGAGTTCCACATTGCGCGTGGTTGTTCGTGCCTTGTTTCTCATGCATGTGTTGTCGGGAAGGGCCTCGCGTTCTGCTGACCTCAGATCAGAGGAGTCCGCAAGTGAGCCTGTGTCGAGGGCTATAATCGACCGATTATGCGTCCCGTAAAGGGTAAACGGCGGTCGGCTTGAGAAAACTCCTAGAAAATAAAACTCACGCTCTTTGAAAGAACTGTTCACAATTTTCGTCAAAGAAAATAGTCAGATATTACAATATAAGAAAAGAGTATAAGAATAGATAAGAAAATATGTTGAGACTAAGGTCTATATATCGAGACTAAGGACTATAAGAGGTATACTAAATTGTCTATGCACAGCTCAGTATACGAAGAACGTTAGTACTTTAAAATCAAAACTGAAAAAAAACTTTTAGTTAATCAACTTCCATTTTTTTGTGGTAGTGTTCGATAATGTTACTAATGAAATAGCTAATTTGATGGGTTTTGTATCATTTTGAGGACGAATAGCTACTGAAATGGTTGCGAAGATATAGCGGTTTAAAAAGTTGTGAAAAGTATTGCAAATCAACACAATGAGAATGTAATGTTTTTCCTCATAACTCTCAATTATTATTTTTGTGATTTTCAAATTTCTACAACTACTTGTGAAAACAATTCAAAAAATATTTCCATTGTAATATTAACTTATAATCTACATGTCATATAAACACCTTCACTAAATGAGTCATATCGATTCTACATATGATCACTAAATGAGTCATATCGTATCGTCATATCTTTACTAAATCAGTCATATCGTATCTACACGTATTCGTCAACCTCTTACAAAACCCATTTGCAATGTATGATGATAATAATGTTAAAAAATTGCCATGATACATTCAAGTATGAATCTCTAATACAACTAGTGGTGCCCCAACACCACATACGTTCTCCCATTTTCCCTAACTTTTGTAATTTTCGAAAATTCAGAGTGTTCAACGAAAGTGCGTTATTTTTAAGCATTCATTACTTCATAGATTAAAAAATAATTAAATAAAAAATGGAGCCTTTTTTTCTAAATTTAAAAAGTAAAAGTAAAAGCATTAATTTTGTGACAAATACGCGAAAACTAATAGTTTTTTTTTTTTTCAAAAAATGTGGATGATATTTAAAACATTGCATTTAAAAAAATTATTTCATCAATGTAGTTATTTTTATAGAATTTTCGGATATAGAGCCATTTTTATAATTTATACTGTGCCCTTTTTAAAGAATATAAAATTTAAAGCTGTACATGGTATTTTTTTAATTGCCTGTATTTCGTACAAAACTGCGCGATAACTATTTTACTTAATGAAAACATTATTTATTTTATTTATTTAATAGGTAATTATTACAAACGAATTAGAATTACTGAGCCCTTATTGTCCGTGCTAGCTCATGAGCTGCTATTAAGATGCCAAATGTACAATACCTACATCCTTCGCATAGTTACTCTGAGGTCCTATGAGTTTCCTTATAGGACCATTACAATCTTTCGAATTCTGGTATTCACCCCAAATGGTCTCTCTCATCTGCATCATATAGCCGTCAGTGAAAAGCAGACTACAATGATACGTGTTCTAAACTATGGAAAAAAACCCTAAAGGGGGATAAACCTGCCGTCTAGAACGCCAATTACATTCTAATTCTATCCGACTGTTTAATTCTAGCTATTTTATTTTCTGGCGCTGGGCGCCCGCCTTCTCCTTTCCAGTTCTTGGCTTTCCTCTAGCAACCTGAAATCAACGGTCGCCACAGAATATCGTCTCCGTTTATCAAACGCCGCTGCCCTTATGTTTTCGATCTGCTTTTTACTATACCTTCATCCCTCCTAATTTGCTTTAAATTTTGATTACTTTTGCCAGTTTCTATTTGTTATTATTAATTGACCTGTTACTTTACCTTAATTGTACTTCGACTTTATGACTTTATCTGTTACTGACTGTTTACTAATTTTCAATCATATAAATACGTACTATTTTATCTTATTTGACTTATTTATTTTTCCCAGTCTAGCTCTTGCTCTCAGTCTAACCAGTGTCTAAAATTGTTCCCTATCCTCTAATTTCAGTTTCAATTCTAATGGTCCGGACCTTTCCTAAAAAAATGTATCCTAGTTCTTTTTCCCAGCCAATTTAGATCTTTTTGTCTTATCCTATAATTTTTTAAGTTTTTTGGTTTCCAGGATCTTACGTTCCTGTTTAGAATAGAAATTTTCTCCTATTTTCCCATCCATTTTTTTTCCCCATGTTTCGGTTTGCACAGCAAACTTATTATGTAGGATGTTGAATCACTTCTTCCCTAATCACTCGTCAAAGCCAACCACAGATTGTGCCCTATTAACGACCAATCTTGCGTTCCCGTTAGTCTTACTGTCTTGTTCATTTCTCCATTCCGCCTCATACAATTCTCTGACTCTACCAATATGCGTTCTTTGATCTCCTCCTTTCTTGCTCCTCTTTCTCGATGGTCTGTATGTATATAAATACTATCGTCTAAACTCCCATAATGACCGCCTATTGGATGAGCTACCATGCGTAACGTTTTTCAGCCGTTGCTGCCCATAAATCTCTTGCTTTTTTATATCCACAAGTCATTCGGAAAATCAGCCCTTTCTATCTCTACGGTTCTCCCTATCTCCCACCGATTCCGGAGAGACGTCTCCTCATACCCTGCGACGATTCATAGTAGCCGTGTTTAATTTTTGTGCCGCCTTAGTATGCTGATGTGTCTGTCTTCTCCTGCCTATTGCATTCTAAAGCACCTATGTATGTAGATTGTGTTCCAGCCTGTTCATCTGCTAATTTTAATCCAAGTTTTAATAGGTTTTCATTTTATAAATCTCTCCCAAATTTCTTCTTTAAATTATACTACTCGACTCTCTTAAGACGCCGACATTGCTGCGCACCTATATCCACTCCATAGAATTTAATTTGCCTTAATAATCTGTTTCGATGCTTTTTCTTAATCTGATCTATCCCTATCCACTCTCTCTCTTAGTTGTTGTAATCTTCTCTCCTGCCCGCATTAGATTCTAGTTAGCTCGCTGTGAGTACATTAGATCCTAACTAACGATTTATATCATCGGTTATACTTCTTTTTTGATCCAGCAATCCGAAACCCGCGCACTTGCTCAAATCGATTGTTCTTTCTAGCGCGAATTCTCCTTTTCTTGATGTGTAAGCCTTCAAATTATGCTGGTCTCTACTTCCCATCCCGCCATTTTCTCATTGTATAAACTTTGCCACGAAGATATGTAATATGTTTTTTGACGACGGTGAATTTTACTTTCCCCTAGTTTCGTTTAGATACTCGATTTCTCTTTTCCATGTGTACCCCATAACATACCCGATCTCTGTAAAGTTTACTACTACCCTTCGTTTTTTGATATTTTTACTTTTTAGTCCCCATGGTCCTCACAGTATATCTCGTCTAGAATATAATTTTAAATTCCTTCTGTAAGTGCCCTCATCGTCTCTCCTCAGCATAAATATACGTCATCTTTTGAAGCACCTTTATATGTTAAGTCTCCAGGGGATTTTTTACATGGCATCTCATCTTTACCGGTATATCCGCTTGTATCTCGCTTTCCTTGCTACCCTATTCTAATAAATCATTTATAAACTAAAATTAAACTGCAGCGGTTAAAGATTACAATCCCGCTGCCTACTTCTTACTGTCGATTTTATTTTTTTGTCTCGTACTTCTTACGTCTACCGCACCTGTGACGTCTGATAATTTAATCTTTTCCTTTAAATCTTTGTATAAACATGCTCTGCCAAAATACATCTTTTTAAAACTTACTGAGACGCCAGGCTCATTAAATTAATTTTTTTGCTTTCATAAAGCTTCCCTATTTATTAACTGCCTTTCAATATAACAACCACAAATAACTGCTCAATTATAACTGTGAATGCATTTATAAATGAAAACATACTGAGCATTTTATACCCTTTTAACAGCTAAGTATTTAATTAAGGAAAAAATAATTTTCATATAGTTCGTTGTAAGAAGACGCGCGAGCAGTGAGTTTTAATTGAAAACAAGGCTTTCGCTTAATTTTTAATGCGGTTCTACATATCGATTGGCATATATTAATTTCTTTTGATAATGTGCTATTTAACTTTGAAAAAAATTAAAAATGACGACGTGCTAAGTACCCACTCAAAAATGATAAATATTCCATTTCAATGTGCAAAGAGGGAGGGGGCGGCGTGTGGTCCTCCACTTTTTTTCTAATCATCGTTTCAGTATGGCATCTGTTTAAATATTATAAAACTTTGTGTGAATATTTCCAACGTTCAATGTTTTCGCTTATTGACCACTATAGATCTTTTCTCATGACAATGTCGACTCTTCAGTTTCTTGATAGATATCCATCTAAAAACTCCTATGTATATTTCTGATCAACTCATAATATGGTGATATATATAACAATTTTTACTGATTATAGAATATAATATGTTTAAATCCACATTTCGTTACTGCCCGAACAATACCGAGATTTTTTCTGTCGTATTAATTACCGGCCCATATCAACTGCTAGCATTTGCTCCTTACTTTTTTCTTTATTTACGAGATAAGTAGTAAAGAAAGAAATTAAAATATCCTAATGCATAGCATCCCGAAAACCAATTATTTTTCATTAATTTGTTACGCATTAATAGTATGATATTGCCAAAATGTTTTTTTTTATTGACCTGACATGTATGGCTAACTATAATATTAAATTGGATATAGGTATTTTCTTCTCGCGAGCCCATAAATATTTACCTTATATAATTTGTCTGGCAAAACTATATGTAAACCTCATCATAAATACTTATTGTCGATCTATTTATTAGTTTTATTTCGCCTTATTTAAATAATTTCTTGTCCCAGTTAATGACAAGTTTGTAACCGGAAGAAATAGTTTATCAAAACTCTTCAATTTCGCAACCCCTTACGGTTCCAGTAATATATAGGGACGAATACAATGAATAAATTAATATACATACCTCTGTTTGTCTCTTAAAATAACTCTTCTGGTTTTTTGACTATGCTTAAGTATTACTTTTTGAATGATTTGTTTCTAGCGAAATCTTTACTGCCAGGGAACCTCTTCTGCGCCTGTGTATCAGACGCTCATTCTTTCTACACGACTCTCAAGGACGTTCAGTCGAACAATGAAACTCCTTGCAGTCGCCGGCCGGTATCACGTGTCATGATTTTCTGATGCCTTCATGCAAGTGGATATCCTACCAAGATACGCTATTCATTCCACACCAAACGTCCCATGATTCCAGAGCTATCAGTTCGATCGCTGCAACTTCCACCCGACGGAGGACGAGCGACGTGTGGCCGTCGATTCCTTGGCAGACGGGTTGGAGCATTGCCGCTCTGCTGCGGCCGCTTATTCGTCTACGTACCTCAGCATCAGTCTTGCCGACTGTGTCCTCGCAGTCTTCAACGTTCTATCTTTAAGAGCCTTAGTCTCTCAAGTGTCAACGACACCATCAAGGCGAACGCACAGCACCTGCTACTCTCTTATCTATTCACGTCCCTAACTCCTTCGTTGGTGCCTTCGTGACCGGCCTGCTTTCTCGGGATGCTCTACTACTTGGGGACCACGTACTGTGTGTTGTCGCGGTCCTTTAGCATCCTTCAGCGACGTTATGATCCTTCGCACCATCAATAGGCCTATCTTGGATAATACTTCTTCTACCTTGACTCGACAATTCTATCTGGCATCATCCTCCTACGGTCTCGACGCGTTTCTACTATCCTTTGTAGTCTAACGGCCTTACGCAGCCCCCCGCTTGCTCACGTTCCCTTTATGCGTCTTACTTTAGTATCTACCAAAAGGCCACCAAGACGCGTGTCTTCTTCTGTGCGCGACCACATCGCCTCTTGCTGTTCCCAGCGCGAGCTTGATTTTCTGGGTTTGAAGAATATCCGCACGCTGCAAGTTGAAACAAGGACGGCAAAACCTTACACCCTCGCCCACTACTACGCCCCGTTCCAATGCCCGCTTCCTGGAGTCCTTACTTGTACGTCTTAATCTTCATGCTCTTATCTACTGATGTGCTATTGCTCGTATGGAGGGTTTAATGTGTGTGACTGTATTTCCTTCCCCTCCATAAAAAATAAAATTAAAGGCGTGGTTTTACCCTTTCCGCCGAAGGATAGTACTACAACCTAATTCGGCGATTAGTCTTCGCCGACGATTTAGTACCGTATATGGAAAGATTCTACTTCCGTTTTAAATCCGTCAAATCGGCCGCTCTGTATGTTCCGGGTGGGATTTCTCTCAGCGGCTGTTCATTCACTGACTTTTTCGCTACCGACGAATTTTGTATCATATGCGGCTTTCCTTTCCGCTCGCTCTTTACTCCCAGCCCATGCTCACCTTTTCTCTACCAACAAATATATGGGCGCAGGCAATTCTGTACGGCCATCCACACCAAGTACATCGTCCCTGTATGTATGGACTATCAACGCTTCTCTTGTGTACTATCACGCTTACCTCCGTCCAGCTGGCACAGCGAGTTGGTGGTTTTTTTTTTGGTTGATGTTGACAAGCCGCCTCTTTACAAGTGCAGTGATTGCGAGCGGCAGCTGCCGAGAAAGCGTATTTACGCGGTCTGTGTTGGAACGTTACGAATTTATGGCTCCTGTTGCACTACGATCTTTCTCAATCGAACAAGCAGTGCACGTACTTCTTATCCTTTCCATACTAAGTGCTCCTCTTGTGAGACCAAGCCTACGCTATCCCGTGCGTCTCTTTGAGGTAGCCGTTTTAGCTGTGTTATGGTCTTCGTGGTTAAGCTGTTGTCTAACCTGTGTTTTTTTGGATGTGCCGCAGTGCCAACACGGTGCAGATCGTGCGCATAAGAATCGCAGCGCTCCTACTTCAAAGGCCTCTATCTGCTTTCGTTCCCGTGCTCTGCATCCCGTACATCGCCTGAAGAATTACAGCGTGGCTAGCTATTGCGTGACCTTCCCTATTAACCGTGGCCTCCCCTTCCAAGCACATCGTCATCCTCTTGGCTCTTTTCCAGGACACGCAGGAGCCCAGCGCGCAGGAGCTGGGCCTTTGAGCTTGCGCAGCACTGGATCCCTCAAACTTCAAGGCTCTTAAATCCAGGACTCTTGGACGAGATGTTCCTAGAATGTGAGTTTGCCCCCTTCAGCTGCATGTCGCGATACTGTTAAGTGTGGCGAGGTATTTAGACCAGTTTTCTTAGTCATTTTCGCTTTGCTCCTACTAGAATTATCGACGCGGATTTGTTCGTCCCAGTTACGGGTGTATTGCGTGAGAGTTTACAACCGTGCATGTGTTTTTTTTTTGGCTTCGGCTGACAATGCGTTTGCCGCTAGTATTCATTATACATGTGGTCGGACCGTCTTGTGGCTAATTCTACTTCCAGGTCAGAGTAATACGAATATACTTGGTTTTTTTTTTATAAAGTTGGATATGAATTCTGTGATTATCAAAGTTTTCAAATCTCTGATTTTTAATTTTTTTCTTATATGTATTATTTTTTCAGTGAATAATTTGCAAGAGTATTATCGTGTGATGGTGTCCAGGAATCATAAGGAGATTGATGTTAAAAGGAGCAGTGAAGATACTGTTCAGAAAATAAATTGAAATGTCAATTTCTTTTCAATAAATAAAACAGTCGAAGGTTTTAAGAAAATATTTTGAAAAAGTATACCAATCAAGTACAAATATTTTGTGTAGAAAGAACTGTACAATATATGTTCGTTGGTAATTTATATTCAAATGTGATTTAGATTATGATCATCTTACTTTCTTTCACAAAAATAAAAATATTATTGAACATTTAATTCTCAAGTAGTTGATGAAATTTTGTCCTCATCCTTGTGTCCTTTTCAATACTTTATCCAGGTTGTTTGTAGAACTACCAATCTTTCTGTGTCAGGTGAATATTAGTGAAGAATATCTATGAATATTCTTGGTATTAATTTGATTAATTTATTGTGGTCAAATGAGGTAATGATCTACGTGATAAATAGGAGAGAAGCATAATCTATGCATCATTATTTTCAGCTCATGATTTCCAATCTCTATCCAATCCTTTATATACATAGTTAAATAATAAATTACCAACCAAAATTTATTCCAAAAAAATGGCCCACTTCCTTCACCCTCATCCAATACAAAACTGCTTTTTAGAAATAATAATAAATAAGTTTTGAATTGCCTTTAATGTGTTAATTAATATGATTACACCTTCTGCAATTTATATATTGGAAAATTGACCTTATTTTAAAATGTCTTCTATTTTCGTTTTATTATAATGGGAAATATCAAATTAAAATATAACTGTTATCAAGTAATGACAAAAGTCACTATATAATAGAAATGATATGTAATACTTTGATGACCTTTTTTGTGTCAAAATGAGAAAAAAAATTGAAATTATTATATACATTTTTAATAATTATCATCTTAAATTTGCCTGCAGTTCACTTACGTACGCATATGTATGATTTGAAACTAAATTTTCTTGATACTGAAATTACTAATCTAAATGGCAAACTCTTAATAAACTGGTACTAAAAGACAAATTATTCTAGTACAATTCTAAATTTCTTATTGGGTCGCCCAGTACAACAAAAAATATCTATACTACATAATATGGGTATATGGGAATTATATTAACTGATATAATATTTCATAATGAATATCACTGATACATAAAATTTATTTTAACTGCCAATAACTATTTTAATATCTTTTTCAACAAATACAATTCACGCTTGATTTGTAACTGTTGTCTTCTCATACATTTAATTAATTTGAATAAAGCTTCAATTATGATTATTGACAACATACATCCTTTATATTTCCCATATGATTTTTATGGGTTTGCAATAAAGACGTAAAGGATGTATGTTGTCTATAATCATGATTGAAGCTTTATACAAATTAATTTAATGTATGAGAAGACAACAGATACAAATCAAATGTTAAAACAAAAGTTGCTCGTGCTTCACAATGGTGCCATTGATTTTTATGAAAGATATGGTCTAAATATCAATGTGACTAAAGCACATATGTAATAAGAGATTCCTATGGAAATATGTCATTTTATAATGAAATATTGTTCCTGAAGATGGAATACTGACTTCAAAACTTTGTGTAAATATTTTATTTATTGGTTTGCGATCAACAAATGAAAAGGATGTATGTCTATAATTATGATTGAAGCTTTTTTTTACAAATTAATTAAATATATTCATTCTGCGTTGAAAAAATTATATTCAAAACCTTTTTTCTAATAACAGATATAATAATTCATTACAATTAAACAATCAAGTTATTAGTTGATTCTATATCAAATTTTAAACATATTTCTAATTGGATTTACAAAATTCTAAACAAATTAAATATCCCCACTATATTTTATATCCTTAAAAATTGAACAATTCCATACATATATGTGAAGATTTATTGTATCTCTATTGAAATATTTTATTAATGTTGTAGATATGTAACAAGTGAATTGTGACAACTGCAGTTATAAACAAAGTGTTACCACATGTTTAGGAACTAGATAGAACTTGTGTGATATGATTAAACTTCCTTTAATTATGTTAAGATTCATTAAGAAATTAAAATTCATTTAATTAAGTTTCAAAACAGTTGCCAATGGATATATGACATTTTCAAGATATCTAGGATTATGAAAAAAGATTAATTAATAGATTTTACCATTCAATAAAGAAGCAAATAGGAATTCCTAATAATGTTTTGTAACACTTGTAAGAAGCGAGATTAATCTGATTGAAAATGAAAATTCTAGATTTATCTGCACAGTCTTACAAACATGTTATTGATCTTCAATGAACTTCAAAACTAATAAATCAAGTTCTTCAAAAATACATCTCAAAGACATTTCTTAGAGCTTCTGAAAATATGCTGGATATATGGTCACATCCCACAAAACAGAGCGTTGCTGTGGTCCCCATAGATAAAAAGGGCCATAGAAAGAACTGTTTTGATGAGAGGGGAATAAGCCTGTTGGATTCCAGATACAAAATATAAGCCAAAATTTTAAATCTGATGGTAACAAATATTTCAGAGGTGCTCTTGTTAGTGGAGTAAAGTGGATTTAGGAAAGGCAGGTCTTGTAGAGATTGCATTTTCACTCTCTCAATTATTACAGAGAATATAGAACATAAAATGTTCCCATGATCATGGTGTTTGTAGATTCAGAAAAGACTTTTGACACTGTTATTCAAAAGAAAAAATATGTGGGAGGTCATGCTGAGAAGAGGGATTCTACTACAACTGTTGTCTGCATATAGACACTGATATAAAAGGGAACATAGGGGATGGGCCACGAAATAAATACAGGCTAATAAATCAAAATATAAGACAAAGGTGTCCCATGTAACCCATTCATTTTAATTTATATTTTAAAGATGTGATCAGAGAAGAGATAATTTAAAACAAATTTATTGGAAAAATGGCCTTGAATACATTACAATTTGCAAATGATAATCAATTTGCAAATGAAATTGTAATCCTGATTATCTACAAAGAGCCATCTTTAGTCTTTTTAATATTGCCAGAGAATATAAGTTAAAAATATTCATCTCTAAAACCACAGATAAATATATTAGGTCAGAACCCCAAGTTAGCAATATATGCAAAATATTGGATTCATAAAGATCCCATTTCTATGCCCATTTACAAAGAATGGATAGTTCATGTATGTCAAATCAAAGTTTTGTGTACAAGCACAAAACAGAAGAAAAGAGTGACATTCAAGATTGCGGTGCAATGACCAAATGACACTCCTGGAGACAGAACATACCTAAAGGCCTAATCTACGCTGTATATGATGACCAAGGCTCAGATTCTGATGACATGTCATCCTTTCATTGGTGCATTCTAGATGTAGCTATCTTGTAAATTAATGGTTATCACAACATATAGTTGATAGTAATGTATAGATATTGGGTCATTTGTTGTCATTTTTTGCCATTTTAAAATTCTTTGGAGACTGAAATGAGTTCAATATTTCAATAATGTTTGATGATAAAAATACCCAAAGGTTAGAGAACTGTAGTTACCTGGGACACCCAAAGATTCAGTCAGTGAAAAAGTGTTGGAAGGAATGGCTTTCTTCAATGATTTCAAAAATTTATATTAGTCTTTCTTTTATTCATGGAGACACATGTGTCGCATCAACTTTTTAATCATTTTCCAATACAGTAACTACCTGTAAATTTACAGATGCTTTGCATATTGATTATAGCAAAAAGAAATACTTTTTCCAATAACCTGAAGTATATTTTTTGTAGAAACATGTACTATTTGAAATTAAATACTGACAATTTTCAAAAAATTTTATCAACAATTGTAATACTAATTTAATAACCTATTTAATATGTTAATAATACTTTATTACCAAAAAGCTGTAAATTGAGATTCATTTAGACTAAAGTAGGATTTGAAGCATTATAAAAGGTTAGAAAGTTATGTATGAAAAACAGCAATTACAAAATACACTCATTATGATATACTCCGATATGATATTGTGTAAAGTTAAAATGAAATCACTGTTTCTTGAAAAATTATTTGACCCAAAAATACCCTTTTGGTTGTTTCATATTAATAATGATACAGCTAGAGCATAAAAAGAACAATTTTTCTAGAGGATTGATAGTTTCCTCTAGTGACCCAACTCTCACTCACTTATATTCCCAGGTTGATAGTGCATTTTCTACTCTTATTATTACAACATATAAATTGATTGCTGAGAACGAGAATGTTCCAAATTCATTTTACAAAATGTTTTGGAAGAGTTATTAAAAAAGTTTTTGTATGTAATGGGTAAGTATAAAATGGGTAAAAATGGAATAGGTTAGTATGGAATGAGTTTGTTGCATGCGAATAGAGTGGAATATTTACAATTTTGTTTGATGCACACATGTAGTCAGAGAAATACAACACAATGAAACAGAAATCTCATTTTGTTGCAAAATTGGATTTAGAACGGTCTGGTTCTCAGCCATTGATATACAAAATATACTAATGGATCTAAACACAATAAAAGATGTGGATACACTATAATTTCTACAACACTTAGTCATATCACCTTCCAACTCAGTATGATCTTCAGTGAAAGCCATTGAGTTCAGCGCAAAGACATTCGATTCAGAATTGAATATCCAAAAACTACATTTCATATGGATTTCTTGCAAATTCTTTTCTGAACACTCCTATTTATCCTGTATCTTATTTCAACATCTACTACACTTTATATTCATTATTAACATTATAATCTTCATTACTGCCTTACAATTCTTCAAAGAAGGAATACCTGATGAGTACCAACAATTTCCATGATGGAATATGCTGAATAAATATTTTCATAAAATAAATAATTCATTTTTTGACTAGTATCAAATTATTAAAATCATTAAAAGAGCATGAGAATTAAAATTTTAAATTCAGTCAGTAACAAATCATTTTTATTTACTAAAAGAATTATAAGAATGTTCTGGTAAAGTGAAATAATATCTTGTGCACAAGGAGAATATTCCACAATATTACATATACATATATTTTTCAAGATGATCTTTACATTGTAATACCATAGAGGAAACATGTTAACAGTATTACCTCTATGTTATGCATTAATTGGAGACATACATCAAATTTGTGTTTTAAAACATCTATGAATTTAATGTCCCATATTTTAATGCATGCCTAACTTATTAATTTACTGAAAAATGTAGAGATTGCAGTCAAAACTCAACAATATTATCAAGAATGAAAATGTATGTTGAAATGGAAGAAAATGGAGAAGGAAAACAGAAAGAAGGAGGAAAAGGATGGGGGAGATGAAAGAGGAGAAGATGAAAGAAATGAATGGAGAGAAGGAGCAACAGAGGAATGAAAAGAGAAAGATATGGAA